AAGTTATTCACATTCATTTTATCTAGACTGATGGAATCTTTAACGGTGGTAAACAACTTCTAACATTTTTAGCATCTGTTTTCACAGATGGAAAGATTTTTGATTTATAGTGCAAGCTGAGATACATCAGATGTTGAATTAATCTCTGGATATTTGTCAAAGTTCAAAACCATGTTATTGTCCATTCAAGTTTATTGTTAGTAGGATGTTGTTTCATCCACTCTGAAAAATTCCTTCTTCCAGTTTGTTGTGTTTGATAAAAATATCTATATCTTAATATGCATTCCAGTGTTTCAGAGTACAAGTATTTGGTAGGTGTCCAAGTTTTCTTATTTAATTGGCAGAGTGCTTTTTTTAAAAAGGTGTGTTTCTTGATTGACAGAAATTGCCTCTGTTAGAAGAAGCATTGGTCAACTTAGACTCCAGTGATCCAGCCAGGATTTCGGCAATTATTGATGAATACTCTGAGCGACCATATTTGAAGGGTAAAAGTGCTTATCATGGGTGAGTTTTTTTAATTGGACATCCATCAATCTTATTCTCTCTAATTTATCAACAATGTATGTGAAAGTTTTGTCATGTCATGATAGACTACATTTTTCAGTAGCAGCTAGCTCGGGGCATGTGCCAGTGTGATCTGTTTAAATCTAGATATTTCTTCATGTGTTTAATTGTTTGGTTTCATTATCAATGCAACTTATTTCCTGAATATTTATGGAGACTGTCTGGGAGTTAGTCTTGACATGTTATACTTAATGTTATGTTTTGAGATTCTTTTCCAAACTGTAAACAACTACTTCATCCCTTGATAGCTAAATTGATATTTTTCTCACATAAAAATGCTCTGAAGTTTGTTATTTTTTAGTATCATTTGCTTGTCCAGAGAGTAGGACACATGAAAAGATAGAGCAATCCCTTTGGTTATATACGTCCACAAACTCAACTAACAAAGGAGTGTACTCCTTCACGGTGCAAAATTGCCAATGGAGACTGCTGTATGTTTCCCAGATCCTCATTTTCTGTTATTACTTGGTTGTAGGTTGGATGTTATTGACAAATGCTTTTCTCTGAGAACCGTTGAAGCGATTTTGTCTGCCCTTTTAAGTTGAAGATGTTTGCATGCTTTATTCAGAAAAAAATAGTATAAATTTCTCTTCATGATGCGAATGATTGTTGCTTTTTACACTGTTAACTGAGTACTCTTTTTTTTTTCTTTCATTTGTGTTGAGTTGTGCAGTCATGGATATGACATTTGGTAATAAATTGATTTTCTATGCTTGCTATGTCACAGGAGAAGGAAGCTGTGAATATGACAGGATTGGTTGTCTGCAGCCATTCAATCACTGAAAAAGGCTTCTCCTACAAGTCTTAAAATCTCTCTTAAATCTGTACGACTGCAGCATATCTTTGATTGAATTATTTTCATCAATTTCTTGATAAAAAAGTATGATGTTAGTTGTTTCAGTAAAAGAACGAAATATTTAGTATCGCACTCATGGTTCAAGAGGATCATAATACTCACCTCCGTTTTGTTTAGGACATTTGGACTAGTGAAACTTTTTCTTCCATCCGTGAAATTAAATGTCAATAACATCAACATGCATAATTAATAAACTAAAAGATGTAAATTGTTCAAAATTGATCATTGAGGGACATGATTGATATTCAGAGAAATTGTTGGATTTGTTTATGATAGAGACAGAAGTCAGATATTATGTGATTGAGGAACTTGTAATATTGCCACCTAAAAGATGACTTTGGTACTGTGGTTCCAGATCATAGAAGGCAGGCTCCAAGGTGCTGGTCAATGTCTGGTTCGAGAATATAGAATGGTTTGTCATGTCATGCAGGGAAAGCTTAGCAAGGATTTCTTTGAGGTTTGTTTTCAGCCGAATCAAATATTTCCTTTTTCAACCTTTTATTGTTTGTTGACAATATCTCTAAGACCTAGCTTTCTAATGCAGGGTTGTAGAGCTATACTGTTGGACAAGGATAAGAACCCAAAGGTGTAATAAGCTTTCTCTTTCTTTATCTCTGCATCTTAGATCCTTTAAACCTCCACAACTATCCTTTAAGAGTCTACATGTAGATTTTGTTTTCTTCTTCACTGATGAGATATAAAAATTTACATCTTCCCATTCGTTTAGTCAGTGGGAACCTTCTCAATTGGATCTCACCAGTGATGCTGTAGTCGAGGAATACTTTTCAAAAGTAGATGATGAAGAATGGGAAGAATTGAAGCTCCCTGCTCGTTTCAACTTGCCTGGGCATGCCATTGCAAAGCTTTGATCATCACTTCCCACCTGCCAGTGAAGTCCAATATCCGAGGAGAGTATTATTTGATAATTTGAAGGTAGTTCATGAGCTTGAGTTGGCTGATGTTCATATATGAATAATGGACATAATCAAATAAACAAATATAATCACAGCTTTGCAATGGCATGTAAAGGAAATATAGAGATATATAAATAATGAGCAAAAAAATGTATACATGCATTTTCCTACACGGCACAGGCTGGTTGTAGACCTTCGAGACATAGTAAGGAAACGAGTCATGTGAATTGTGATGAGTTGGGATTTGGTTTGCATCCACTTTGAGAGGATGACCTTGTAATGGTCATCTTTGAGGCCCCGAGAAGTCATCCAAAAATTGAATCGAACATTTCCAAAGCGTGAATTGGTTGTTGTGGTGGTTTTTCTATGATTCTGGCGAGTTTATGACGGTCACGCCCACAACAAGGCTGACCCTTTTAGCCCTTATTTTATCAAATTATCTTCAATATCATCTCTAAAGAGACAATAACGGATGCATACCTGCATGCTTTGTACTTGTTAAACTAGATTTTATTTGGTGTGCTGCAACGCGTGAGAAACAAAAAGGAGCCGATTAAGTAAGGGCGTGAATATTATCTACAACAATGCATGCAAATTGGTTTGAATGCAACAAAAGTGATTCAGTTCATGAGACCTTTATTACACGGATTTTCCAAAAAACATCTTTTTGGGATCAAAAAGGTTTAATTTTGGTTGTCAAACATATGTTTTTCCTACAGCAGGAGAGATATTTTCTAAGATTTCTTTTGAACCATGTTAAAGGGCATTAAGTTTTGATAATCTTAAAAATGTTTCAGGAATTATGTATTCGACGTTCCAGCTTTCGTCAAATCTTATAGATGCTTTATGTAAGGCTATTGCAACAGTAACATCTCTACAAATTAGTTAGCTTGGTTTTCTATGAAGATGATGACTTAAATGGTTTGTTTCTTCAGTTCTAGAGATCCATGCATGATGATATTGTTTGTCGCTTCAGATTAACTTTGAACATGCTAAATCTTTTAATGTCTGATGATGAGCTTAGAAACTGTGTTTTATGAACTTCAATTGCTATTCAATGCAGCATCAATTGCTCTCGAAAAGCATAAGCTTCCAATGCCTGATGGAAGATTGCTTGCAGAAATAAGAAACAAGTTACTAAGAGAGGAACTAAACTATGATGTAGTTGATCTTAGATCCCAACATTCAATAGCTTTCCCATTGCTTGGCCATACCAAAAAAATGTCTGTGAATATGTTGTTGCAGTTGTCATGGAAAGCAAGCAAGCTCTGATATTTGTTCATGGGCATGGAGGAACAAGAAAGACTTTTTTATGGCATACAATAATGAGTAAAATCCAGTCTAAAAGGTTTAAAGAGTTAATTGTCCATGCAATTGCCTTATCTGGAATAATATCATTATTATTGCTAGGTGATCGCACAACGCAGTCACGCTTCAAGATTCCACTCAATCATTTTTTAAACCTCATCATGCGAGATATAAAAGAACACAAACCTTTTACATCTCCTTGAAATGGCATCTTTTATTGTTTGGAGTGAAACTCCAATGAAAATGAATAATTGATGTTACTTTGAGGCATTGGATTGTTCACTGCGTGATGTGCTTACCTTCTACGGTCTATGCATTCAAAATCAACCATTTGGTGGGAAATTGGTTTTGTTAGGTGGGGATTTTAAGCAAATCTTAGTTCCTCAAGGGGAAAAAAAAGAAGAAGAAGAAGATACCATCCACGCCTCTTTGACCAACTCACTACTGTGGCAATAATTTAAACTTTTGATGTTAAATGAAAACATGCGACTCTCATTGAATGGGCTAAGTAATGTCGAGAAAAAAAAAAAAAACTACAGTTGTTAGCCAAATAGATTCTTATGATTAGCGATGGAGAAATATCTGGCATCCCATTTGAAGATGACTAGTATGCATCCTTGATCAAGATACCAGCATAACTACTTCTGGATACAAATTTCAACCTCATTACATCTATAGTTTATACAGTTTACCCTCACATCAACAACCATCACCTGGATCCTGTCTATTTTCAAGAAAGAGCAATCAATGGTCACACCAAAAAATGCTGTAGTTTCTGTGATTAATGATTTTATCCTTGACATTTCACCAGTTCACAAGCATTTTTATTTAAGGAATGACAGTGTCTACACATCATCAAGCAATGCTAAAAATGCTTATTTACTGTACCTCACCGAATTTATCAATCAACTTGAATTTAGTGGTGTTTCTTAACGTAAACTCTCATTGAAAATAGAAATGTCAATCATGTTATCACATAATTTGAATTCATCAGCAGGTTTCATTACGGCTTTTATTTACACAGCTAGCTTAGAAAGTCATTAAAGCATAAATACTGACAGGTTCTGATATTAGCAACCGTGTGTTCATTCCAAGAATTATATTCTCAGTAAATGATGGGAAGTCTGCATACACAATCAAGAGGAGATAGTTTTATATTTGCCCATGCTATGCAATGACGATAGACAAAAGCCAAGGGTAATCATTAAAAATTATTGGAGTTTTTCTTAGAGACCAAGTTTTCACTAATTGCTAACTTCATACAGCCCTTTCAAGAGTTACATGGAAAAAAAAAAAGGACTTGAGATAATCACTCAATGATAAAAAGGAAGCCTAGTGACTATGCAAAGAACATTGTTTACAAAGATATTATTAACTTGGTCATAAAAGAGTGATTTAATAGCACTAAAAATGCAAATCAAAATCTCTTTCCTAATGAACTCCATTCAATCACTCTTTCTCAAGTCCATCCTTGATTCTTATATTTGTTTTAAATTTGAACACTTTATTTATCTATTGTTTGTGTTTTCAGTTTTTCTTAGCACATTCCATATTCCATATATGTTTATGCTCTTTAATATACCATTACCATTTTTGCATTTTCTATTTATTGCTTTTTTTTAATCATATACATGGTCTTTCGGTTCTATTCTCTTTTTATTGATTTATAATTTTTTAATATAAGGTTATGGTTGTACCAATTACTAATATCAAGAAGTACGTTTTTTATCCATCGATAAGAGCATGAGTTTGTCATGTATGAATTGTAAAATTTGAAAAATAAATCAGTAGTTTTAATTGCCTTTTCATCAACAATCAAGTATAATTACTTTCTTTATCTTCTCATCAACATATATTTGGCTTAATATGAAAGCAATCTAAATTCAATGTTTCCATGATTCCAAAAACAAATTTCAACATTGGTTTTCACTTATTTGTGAAAACAAATCAAATTATTTATAAGCTCATATCACATTCATGCATCATTCATAACCTTTTAGATCTTCAGTATTTGTCAAAAAATTAGAATTTAGAATTTAACTAAATTCATTATAGGAGAGATTTCGCTTACCTACTTCTCCAATAGCATGACCTCGTCTGATGGAAGACCTTGTGCCTAATGTTTCTCTTAACTTTACAAATATTTTCCTGTCTACAAATGATTTAATGAGTTTACATACTCATTTCTTATGCAAGAATCACCTTTATTAAATTTCATCTCAAACTCATAATATTCATGAAACACATGGCAGTGCACTAAAATACTGTTTAATCTTTCTTCCTCCTATTAGAGTTGTAGAACTTGGTTCCTTTCAGGGTTTATTTTTTTAGTAAGCTAATTCACAATTACACATTTGAGATGAAAAGGGTCAACTTAGTTCTACCATGTATACACTCAAATTTTTAAAAATACACTAGTATGCAGGTCTGTTTTGTAATGCACAACCCGACATTTGGTTAGTATTTTATCCATATATGGAGTTCTATAACTCCAAATGAAGCAAGACTTTTTTTCCTGTAAAATTTAACATAATGATACACATCTTTCATGAAGACATTCATCCCAATTTCTCTTAATTATTAACCTAAAATCACATTTCAAAATTCGATGCATAAGGTGTCCAAAATTTTCCAATTTAACTTGTTTTTACTTTTCTACCATTATCTAGAATTCTATAGCTCCAATTTAGGTGATTCCAGTTCCATTTAAAAGTTAACTCTCAATTCTACGACTTTCATGGGGACAATACTCTAGATTATACCTTTATCTAAGTCAGTTCTTGGTCACAAGTTAACTAACAACACAACCTAAATTTCTAATTTGAATGTCCAGTGCATAAATCATCATTTTCATACTTTTTATTTTTATTTTTTCAGCCACTATTACCTACAGAATCCCATTTTCCCACCAACAATCACATATGAAAATATAATTTATTTAAAAGTTAGGTTTCACAAGAGTATGTATAACAAGGATTTGTTCATTTATCTAAATTCCCAGCACATTATAATTTCTTGGAAGATTTCTACATTGTTATTTCAACATACATGCATAACTAGTATTCAAGAATGTTTTCCCCTTATCTTTATTCATGTTGAGCCAAAGGCTCATAAGCCTTTCTTATTCTCCTTGTTCTTTAATTTAGTTAAGACCATTATCAAGTCTTTCTCCATATCTTTTTCACATTCCATTCTCACCTTCAACATACACAGAAATATTCATCAAGAACTTAATCTAAGAGCTATTATTTTGCATAAAACTTACCTAAAATGTTTGAAATTGATCTAGTAAGGTTTTAGATTTGTCCTAATTATGTTTTCTACTCCTTGAAACCCCTTCTCCCTCAAATATTTTGGCTTTTCTTCCTATCCTTCCTTGCTGATTAGTACTTAAAAGTGCATTTTTATCATGGTTTTATATCATCATTTTGCACTTGAAGTATCAATAACTCCTTAACTAAAATATGTTTTATAATAATGTATCTAATAATATAAGATACCTATAAATTGTGGTAAATGTCTATTTTTAATGAAGGCCTATCACATAAATGAAA